TGGATAACAGAACGTAAATGATTTCATGGCTTTTGTGTATCAATTTTTCTTTTTTCTGATGCTTTCTGAGTTGTCGTAAATGTGATTGAGGAGGTTATTCTAAGAAGAACTCTTCACAGAATAAAAGCGAGGATCAATACCAGCTTAGCCGCTATCACCAACCGATTCGAGACTTTGACGATACTTCCATACTCTGCTTATTGGCCCCGTATCTCTACTTCGCTCACGTTTCTGTGACACTATTTGTGGACCTTTAGAATCGCCACCTGCCACCCTTGCCCATTCTGTACTTCATTAACCCTTCAATTTAGTCTTGGTAGCTGATCATTCTCCTCTCTCGCTAGGATTCAGATCGTTCTGTTACGTTCAGCTTATCTGTTGCATTATCGTTCGACAACTAATTTTCAAACTATTGATCCATCGAGTTGTTACGATTTACCACGCGCTCAACAACTATCGATATGAAATGAATCTTTGGGCTCACCCTTGAGGGTTATGACTAGACCAGCCTCCAAAGTTCAAGTCGTGCTTTTCCCCACAAACTACTTCCCTAACTGTCAACTCAACAACAACCTCTCATCAACAACAGTCATAACGATGATCATGAATAACACTACTTCTGAGTAAGAGCACGATAGCCCTTCCAGTCCTTCGGTGGTATACATCCGTATGATTTTATGAATTCCAATAGCACCGCACTCGGACCGTCCTCATACCCCAAATTGTCCTTAATTTCGCTTAAAATCTCGGCTGTACTTTCCCACCTCCCACTCTCGTAATTTTTATATGCCTCGCCAAATTTCCTCAAAAATTCTTCAGTGAAAATTTTCCGCACCGAAACAAGATCTTCATCTTTTACCCAAGCATCAGCGATAACATATTTTTCATGCCATTTCCTCGCTTTTATTTTTTCTCTCATTCTTCTCAATTTCGACTTATTAATCAGCCTATCAGACAGACTCCCCCGTCGTCGCATCGTACTCCTTTTCGTCTTTTTCTTCAAAACGTCCAAAAACCGTCCATTGTGATCCACAAACGTACCGTTTCTACTCAGGAAAGAAGAACTCCCAAAGACAGTATTTCTCTCAATACTATTCGATCGGGATTCAACACTTCTACGCCGCATATCCCACGACTCCGCATCAGCCACTTCCAATGCCTTATAATCAACATCAATAGTATGTAACCTCACCGGAACCTCCGAGCCTTTCACTGTAACATTATCAATCACTCTACTGTACTTTTCCATTCCTTCCGAACACATTCCCTTCATTAGCGCTTCCGAGCACAATATGTTCGTCCTGTACTGCTTAGTCGCTGCAGCTAATCGACTCGCTGTGTTCACATTCGGCGACAAGTAACTTGCATCAATTTTGAACTCCGACCCAATCGCGCCTTCGATTGCCCATCCAACGTGCATTCCAAATCCCATGGTCACCCTATATTCACCTTCTACTCTTTCTGATAAGCCTGGATGATGACGGTACTCAGCAAGCACTGGTGATCTATTTATAGCAACCAGTATTTTCACGAACGACATAACCGCCATATCCGCTAATTTTTCCCTCTTTTTTTTCACTTTCGCATTTTCCTCTTCCGATTCAGCACAAGGTAAACGCCA